ATCGAGTGTGCTGAATACGAAAAACCACTTTTCAGCAACTGTAAACGAACTTTATTTTTTTTCCGGTGATATGAGCTCGTCTACTACTTCGTCGAGTATGGCGGCTGCATTTCACAGCCTGGTTTTTACACTCAGTTCAACGTTGTCGTTTCAAGTATTGTCTACTCATACAGCCCTCCTCTTCTTCTTTTCTTCTTTGGCCTTCTTACTCTACTCAACCTCAAACAGAATCGTCGTCGTATCGTACCTATCGTTCAACGACGTCAACAACGTACTGATGCACAACTGATGAAAATGTTAATTATACAAGTTTTAGTGTTTTTCCTCTTAGTTATGCCAATAACAATATTTTATATTGTTTCAACGTTTTTCATAACTGAAGAGCCGATGACAGAACAGATGACATTGATTCTAGCAGTTACTCAGTTACTGTTCTACGCTAATTATTGCGCAGGTTCTTATGTTTATACTTTGGCATCAAAACTGTATCGCAATGAACTGATGAACATTGTACATTGGTGTGTTAGTGGTGGTGGAGTTCAATCAATCAGTTTATTTTAACACGAATGTATCTCGGATGTTACAGAAAAGAAAAAACTTAAATGAATGTATAGCCTATGTTAAGATCTAGAGAAACAAGAAGGAATTGTTACACATAAAGAGAAAAAATAAAACTTTAAACAGAGAATTACAGATTCTAATTACCGTTGTAAAACTACATATTCAAATACAGTCCAAGCCTCCGTCTAAAAGTTCCAAGGGCAAATTGGGATATGACAGATCGTGGCAAAAGATTCCACTCCGTACTCAGTTGCTTCTAAGCCTTTGAGATAGTTCACTAGCATCGATCAAAATTCATAGCAAATGTCCATGGCAGTGAGCATCTCTTGATATCAGTTGGTAACTCATATCTTTTCTTCGTACGATTATTGAACAACTGAATCTTTCTCTCATTACAGTTTACTGTTAGCTCTAGTCTGTCATTATCAATGATATCACCATAAAACCACCATAACCATTTTTCCTAGCACCATTCATGTACCGCAGCAAATCTTTAGTAAGTGCCATCCCGTCCATAAGCAGATGGCGAGGAACGAGTTTCTTCCTCTCTTATATTTGAAAAGGAGATAATACCAACGAATATCCAGTCACTTGCTTTCACGATCTCAATCGGAATTTGATGAACATCGGTTGAATACAAACTAGGAGAACGATTTGGTGAAGTTTTTGGTGCTGTGAAAGTGAGAGAGAATAGTCGATTAGCTGTTTCAAAGTCAGCAGATGCAAGTGTTTATTGTTGTTTTACGGCACTAGTTTGTTGCAGCATCTGTTGTACATTTCAGTGCTCCTTGTGCAATTAAGAAAAGGAATCTGCCAATCTTTTTCTTTTATCATTGCATTACACCAATGAAATACTTTTCCTTGACTATTCAAACCATTTTCTTCATTACTCAAACCAATCAGAATACCCTCGAGTAATTCAACAAGTCTCGATGGTGGTATATCATTTGCTGGATTTGTATTACGTTTAAATATTTGTGCACTAACCATCGCACAAACCACTTATCATGTTTTGTATTGTTTGTTTATGATGTACCGATAATAATTCTCTAAATTTTTCTAACACAGCAGTACACTGTTCCTCTGACCCAGCCCATGGATTCGAAACAACTAAAGCACAGAATATATGCTTTACTATACAAAAAATTAATATCCAATCTAATTGTTTTGTAACAGCAAATGATCCAGGTGATGCACAACAAATCACACATAATATAGCACATTTTGGTTTATTTATTGTTCGATTTACTTTTGCTTGTATATCATTCTTTGACCAGGACTCAAAACCAGGTGTATCCCAAAAATTATATATATATTCAATTATTTCTGAATCGTCGATTTTACGTCTTTCTTTTAAAAAAGAACGAGTAAGTTTGTTGTACATGATACTAGGATGTGTTCGAGCTACTTTCCGATCACATAATGTATTAATTAACGTTGACTTTCCTACGCGTGGTGCACCACAAATTATAATATTAAACTCGTCAAATTCTGCAAAAAGTTTTGATCGAACTGCGGGATCAAGGGTATATTTTTCACCAGATAATTCAATTTGTGATTTATATGCTGTATAAGTACTTGCTAAAGCATTCATTCGCTCATTTAACTGCTCTTGTAAAGCTGGTGTAATATCAATTACATCTTCTTCTGGGGGTTTACATTCGGGTACCAATACAGATTTGGACATAGGCAAACGCTGCTAAGCAAATAAATGAAAAGCTATACAAAATCAGATATAGATCTACCCAGTCAGAAACGAATCACACCACCGGCTTATCCTAGATGATCTAGACACTCACCGACCATTCAAAAGTGCATCAGATCACAGCTCCGTTGAATTTGAATTCGAAAGATATCCTTCTTTTCGACCCAAGTTAGTGATACTACACCAGTTTCTGTCGCTGATGCATGCGTCTGCCAGATAAACACAACAGTTTGGTTTCCAACGTTTTTGGTTAGGATAAACTGCAAAAAAGTATTGTTCTTACTCTGCTTATTCGGATTCCACATCTATACAAGAAAACTAAATTCATATACCTTTTTGCATTATTTTACCTGTAAATGTAAGAGTAACAGTTTGTACCTATTACAAACTATGTAAATTCTATGTATAGATTAAAAACAAAAATTATCAGCAGTGTGTATAGGATATAGAAAATCTCTTGAAATGTTATACTTCTCCAAAACCAGCAGCTTGTTCTATCGGTTTAACATCTTTGCCATATTTAATACAATTTCGGTTTTCTCGAAAAGCCATATCGTTAAATTTAGTTTGACTTTAATTAAAGAAAAGACATTTTTCCTTGTTTTTCTTGGTATTTTTGTACATTATGGCAAGAATATATACACATTTACTATATGATATACTTCTTCCTTATTCTTGAAACATATTATCTTTAACGGGGAGAAACCTTTTCTCTGTTCTATGACCTGATTGAAATATTTTAGGAAACGATTTTTCTTTTATTTTCTTATCGTTATTATTGTACAAGCATCTTGTTATTTTTTCAAAAGAAGAAGAAGATTTTCCTTTTATTGTTCGCGCAACGTCAAGCTGTTTCAAATAGGGGTGGCACATTACTATTACTTTGAAGAGTAATCCAAATATTGTATATATTCCTATTACCAGTAACAGTAATTCTTTCCAGTTTTGCGGTTGCCGGTACAAATTTTATGAGCATTCCTATTACCAGCAACAGTAAAACTGAAAAGTATTACTGTTACTGGTAATAGGAATATATACAATATTTGGATTACTCTTAAAAGTAACAGTAATGTGCCACCAAAAGGTAACATTTCTGTAGACTTATAAGATGTATGTCGGTTTGAGACCATAACTACACATTTGACGGCATGCAGAATTCCGCTTCGCCGCAAAGTGTGGTCGAACGTCTGCGCATGCACGATAAAGTTATAGCAAGATTGAAGAATTGAAAAGTTGCAGAGCTGGAGAATATTGATGATTATAGTAACAATCCATTCGTTCAGCTGCAAGTATGCGAAAAAACTTTCAGAATCACAATTAGCTCCATTTTCCACGGAAATTCACTAAAAGTCTTCCTTCTGGCAAAATGCTAATAAATGGTTAGAGATTAGTCAAGAAATGTGGAGATATAAGCATTTGATTTAAACCGGTTTATTAATAAATCGATAGAAGCATTTCATGGTACTAACTCTTTCTGTTGTTACAGATTCTGGTACCACACAGGCGAACAACGAAGTAGTATACAGAAATAGTGGTAATAAACCTGTTGTAGTATCCTCACTAGCTTCTATTCAAACTCAACTGAACACAGTAGGAACTATCATAAGAAGTAGAAGAAAAAGACATTCATCTGTTTGCTGGTGTTGATTCTAAAGTTGGTAAATCAACATTAATTAATGCATTACAGACTTTAAAAGTCATTTTGGAACAAAAACGCGTTTGAAAAACTGCTCCACTAATTCAAAAGAATTTAGCTGTGATAGGTCACTACATCTATTTCGAACGGGAAAAAAACCGGAAAAAAAAACCGTGAAACTCATGACAGTTTTACACACGGTTTCTCGCAGTCAGTTTGGCATCGTTTTTTCTCTCAGTTGTAGTTGTTCATGCTTTTGTTTCCTATGATTCCCATATGACAGTTTTGCTCTAACGGTTTTAAAACTGTCAGAGAAATCGTCCAGGTAAAATTGTGCAGGTAAAATCGTCTACTTTGAAAGGGAAGAAAAAAAGAACAGCTCCTTCAGGAATCGAATCTGGGACGCTTGGTGAATATGAATTATGAGACCAAGGCACAAACCACTGAACTGAGGAACTTACAGAAGTATGTCTTCGCACTGCATACTCATCATATTCTCGGGTAGACTTCTGTAAAAACTTCAACACCCTACGAAAAGCTGTCGCTATAGAATTTGTAAAGCTCCTCGTTATCGTACATGTATTTGAGACATAAAAGAGAAATGCTAACTGTATAAGTGTGCACATATATCATATGATACCACCGAGTGTATTCTATGACGAACGTCTAGAAACTGATGATTAGGAGAAGACATTCACTATACCCTTCCTCTCTAAGGCTATACGCATCAGAACAATTACAAGATAATCGCAGCTTCAAAGAAAAGAATCTGTAAAACGAGAAAGTTCACAAAACAGGCATATTTTGCAGAAACATGAGCTGCAAGACGTCTTTCCCTGCTCTCTGTCTTAAGTGCCAGTTTTACTCTCTGATCCATCAGGCTATGCTCTTTATTGAATAATCCTGAGCGTGAGATAGATTTGTCGAAAGGCCCAACACTCGCTCTATTAAACTTATGTTACTTGATCAGGAAGACTTTTTGACGTGCCAACGACTAAAACTGCATATGTTTTAATGAATTTTGAAGCTTTGATAAAATCGTCAAAAAACTAAAAAGCATGAAAGCTCTTTTACGGTGTTATTTTCATTGTTTTCTTTTAGCAAACTGTCAGTTCAGGATTTTATTTCTACAGTTTTGACCTTTACGCTATTTTTTCATGGTTTTAATTATACAGGTCGTAAGGGGGGAGCCCCCACCCACATTTTCCACCAGTTTGTGGAGGACACTTCGGAGTATATGTCCCAACAAAGCTTTCGGTTTCTGGATTTATAGTTTTTGATTAAAAAAGTTTTAGGTCTTTTTCGGGTTTTAGGCCCTATTTTTAAAATTTCAATACAAACTTCTTTTTTTTTATATGAATTGTTGATTTCAGCGTAGTTCAATAGAGAACATTAATTTGTATAAGGAGAAACCCTTTTGATCGTTCTCGAATGAAGTTTGCCGCAATTTAACGTTCGCCTTCCCGAGGAAACTTCAAAGCTAAAAGTATTTTTCGCCTCGCCTTACGACTAGTTTCGCTCGAACCAAGCATTTTGGAGCAAAACTCTGAGTCCAAAAAGTGGTTCAGAATCGAAATTTTCTGTTTTTGATTTTTAAATTGAATAATACTAATTTTTAAATTTTAAAAACCATAAAATTTAATTTAAAAGTCAAAACAGAACATTTTAGAAAAAGCTGCTGTCAAGGACTCCAAAATTCGATTCTGAACTACTTTTTGGACTCAGAGTTTTGCACGAAAACGCATGGTTCGGGCGAAACTAGCCGTAAGGTTAGGTAAAAATTCTTCGGTGAGCCAAAAACCAACGATATTTTCAAGTTTTGAATTTTTTCTTCAAGCCTTCCCGGTTTGTAGAAGGCACTTCGAAGTGTATGTTCGGCAGTTTTTTCGGCTTACTAAAACTATCTGGCTGAGAAAAAAATTAATTACTTAAACAATATTGTTAAATTTTCGACTTATCAGACTTACCGAACAACCAAAAACGAATTCTAAAATGTTTAAGGTAGTCCATATTGTAGCCCGTGAAATTCTCTGTCAGTTGAGGTATTGGTTGAATTTTTTCGTTGCACTGCTATTTTACAAATAAGACTTTATGCTAGTAGAGTAGGCTACATTAACGTTAAGACCCCCCTCAGAAATGAGGATTTTCGATGAAACGG